AAGCGTTAATCCAGCCAATTGATATTCCTGGGAAAAACTGTAGCTCTTACTTCTCTTAAGCTGCGCATAAGACATTATGATGGTAATCATTAGCAAGGAAAGCAAACCAAAGAGACATTAAGGACTTTTTCTGCTAATCTTTAAGTGACCGGATGACTATATTTGGCCACTAGAGCACAGTGGAAAAAGTCTGCAGGAAGCTGTATTGCTGATGGAGCAAACTTATAGCCAAAGGGCAAAAGCAAGACAAATGAGGAACACCGTTTAATTAGCTTATTTATATTCCAATCCCTGAGTCTACGAATTAGTTTTGGACATGCTGGATGTTGTTTGTGAGCTCCTGCTGTGTCATTTCTTTGAAATGCAGGTAACTGAATGGAAACCTTCCATTCAAATTACTGATGCTTACGCCATTAAGAAGCAGCTTTATCAAATCATTCAGATATCTATCTATCTATCTATATATATAATACTTATATTATATTACATAACATACACACACACACACACACACATGTTTTATATATATATATATATATATATATATATATATATATACACACACAGACACACACACACACACACACACAATTTTATTTTTTCTAATTTTATTCTATTTTTTCATTTGGCTTTGAATAACGTTTGCTGAAAACTTTTGCCAGCTATCCTCACATGGTCCTGTCACAGGAAGTGGGAGCACGTGAGATTTCTTTCCAGTATTTGAGGATTGATTCATATCAAAACATCCCGCTGCTTCTATTTTTGCTTCAACATCATGGCTGTAGCCACTGCGCTTCTTCATGCTTATCAGTTCAGTGGGACAGCTGTGAGACATCTTGCCAAATAGTCATGTCATCACTGAACGCTCAGATGCGGTTCATCCACCTCTGCTTGGTCAATGTGACTCTAAAAAGCTTTGTTGATTAAATGTTTTGGCCGCCTGTGATCAGACACAGGAATACCTAGCAACAACAGTCCTTATAAATAACAAGTATTCATCATTTGTCTCTATTGTGGAGAACTGAATATGACTTTATTTGGTTTATAATTTGTAATTGTAATGATTTTACGACACAACTCGTGTTTACCCTGTCATGTCACGTGATTGCTGAATAACTTAGATCATTTCTGTTGCACTGATGTCATTGGTGTCTTTGAACAGGACGCATGACGATTTTCACAAACATCAACAATTTAGACGCAGATAAAAGGAAAACATAAGTTCAAGTGCAGCTACATCTGATATTTAAAATAAAAAATTTCCCATTCAAGCAGCTTAATAAAAATCCAGATATTCAAATCTGGATTTTGAGACTACTTACAAAGGTGCAAGAGCATATTCATTACAAACAAATATACTAGATTACCACCTAATGAAAGATGGGTACCACAGTTAACAGCTACAACCAGCTTATCTTTCTGTAATGGTTACTCCTTTATGTGCAAGCATGAAATTATGCATTTTTATGCAAAAATATAATTACCGTTATCCATGACTTTTCAAATTTCAATGTTAAGCATTAATTTAATAAAGTACTGTATTAACTCTGGTCTTAAAGCCTTTTGTTTACTGCTTTAGCCATTGGTCTTTCTTCTTTTGAAACTGGAAGTTACCATGTTTACACAAAAGATCAGAAGTTAAGAACTAAAGTAAGCACTATCCTGCAGCTAGTTTGATTAGCAAGTTGTATCATCCTAACCCTGTCTGACTGTTAAACAGGATGCAAAATTTGAGCAGTGAAAAGCTGTCTTAAAACCTAAAAACAGCCTACTTGTTGGACAAATTAAACACAATCAAGCATTGGACGAGATCACAGGGCACCCACGCATCACTTGGAGCAGGGTGCCTTTAATTATGCATAAATTTAAGCCTTAAAGCAGCAATTTAAAAAATCCCCTACTCCCATCCTCTCAAAGCAATTTTAGGAAAAAATTATCATCTTAATGATTCAAATTAAAGCCAAGTGAATAGATTTGCAGAGGTGGGTTATACAAAACTGTATTACCTGTACAGGTGTGTCGTAACACGCTGTAAACATGCTTATTTCTACTGTGAAGCTGGGAATTTAACCATGAGCCTCTATGGGAACTGACTTGCTTTAGAGGCCGGTCTCATTTTGAGTAACTGCAGCGCTGAAGGTTGCTGCTTCGTTGGTCACTTGCTTAATCCTGCTTGTTACTTACTGAGATGGAAATTTCGCGTTGTTTAACTAAGACCCAACTTACACACTGTCAAAGTCTGGTGTTCAAAGTCAGAAAGTATTATTTTAAAGTTACCATGTAACTGTAGCTAATGGCTGAGAGCAAAACATTATTTTGATTGCATTTTAATTGGCTTATAAGGTCATATATTTCAGCTCACGGTGTCAAAATAACAGGCAAATAAATCAGACAGCAGATAAATCCAATGTCTAATTGCCGTTGCACATCACCTTAATTTATTCGTTTAATATAGGAACAATGCGCCAGCGTCAGGACACATAAAAGCCATGCATGCCCTCTAAACAAATGGACAGATGAATTAAACATTATTTGTTTTCACTTATCTTTTTAAAGTGTTAAATATGAAGCGAGTGACCCTGATGAATAACGAAAGATTAATAAACATCTTTCTCTGGAGATTCAGTGAGAAGTCTTTAATAATAACCCATCTTATCTTGCATCTTTTCTGCTTTACAAGAGAAGGACCAACCTGTGCCCTCCCACCTTGGAGAATTATAGATGTTTATATCAAACTTAATCAATAAAAGGAGCAAAATATAAAAGAAGGGGGGGGGGCATGCAACAAGGAAAATGCATCTGCAGGAAGATAAAACTCTCCCAAACGTAGATACAATTAGAACATGGTGTTCAGAGATAGCACGTACTAAACCTAAAAGATTAAATAAGAACGTGTTGACTTGTTTACAAATTTACTGACCAACAAAGGCATGGGAGGTTTCTTTATATAAGAAAAGGTTTAAATAGAAGCAAGTCCTCTGTATCCAAGCCCAGCTCTGATAATGTCTAATGCACACGCTTTTCTCTTTGAGATTAATATTTACATCTCAAATAAACCATGACATCATAGCTAGCCAACGTCCTCCTCTCCTCCAAGAAAACAGACATGGGTGTTTTAACACACTTAAAAGGCTCTGGGCATCGGATAACCAGTGACGTGAATGTCAAACTTCCTGACATCTCACCTGTTTGACTTGATCAGCGGTGCTCAAACACCTGAAAAAGGCTTCTGGGACAACAGCAGAGAAAGTAAATACTCCTGTCACTGCTGTTAACCAGCAATGTTTAACCTGCCAAAGAATGACTGATGGCCACCTTTTTTTAATTTTTTTAAATGAGGATTAGAGCTAATATATTTTCAACAGCTTTATCGCTGTGAGATAAGCATCACACACAGAAAAAAAGGCCTGAATCTGTGGAAATAATCTGTGACTGTACAAAGAAGAAAGACTTCACTGATAAGCTGGAAGAAGGACACTAGCACTTTTCTTTATGGTAATTACACTTTAGTGGCACATGTTTCACCACTGTGCGACTTTGTGCAGGCATCCAAGAATCAGCTGAATTTCTCCTGTAGTGTACACTCAACTGCCAGGTTATTAGGTGCACCTATTCAGGTAGTTCTTTATCCAAATATTAAGACGTTCTGCTGAGGTTTAAATCGATCATCAGAGAGAGGAAGAAAGGCGATTTAAGCGACTTTGAATGTGACCGAAAATTCATCTGTCAAGGTGGTCTAAGCGTAGCAGGAATGAAAGCCAACTGTCAGACTGATGAAGATGGTTCATATACACTGTGTTGCATTCGCTAACACTCTGCAAGAGCTATATGTGTATATATCATGAACCCTTTCTGTGGTCTGCATCTCCGCATTCAACATCCTTTCTTCAGTATATCTACCACCCCTCTTTATACAATATACTCTACTTAATGATAACAAGTGCAATGTAAATAAAAGGAGATATTCAAGTAAAAAGTCAGTGAATCCACCTCTTTAAGTTTATAAATCTCCACTGAGTCCCCTCACCTCATCAGGTGGTGCAAACATTTACACCACAAAACTGTAAAATCTTGATTTAGTAACCCTTTTCTTTTAAGAACGCAAAGTCTTAATTCATAATCAGTTATAAACCAGTAAGTGGAGCCAGAGCTGAAAGTGTGACTCAACACCTGCGTGCTTTAATATTTCTCTAGGCGGTCCAATTTATGCAATAACACTATTAAGCAAACACCAACTATGAATGCAGGGCCACTCTGAGAACTGTTAGTGAGGTGCCTCGGGATCACAATGGTTCTTGTTTCAGCGTTTTGTGCTGCTCATTCATCCTGGACTGCATACCAGACTGTTTCCCAAGCTCGTGCTCTGAATACTGAATAGCTGCAGCATAATGTAGAATGAATGCATTATCTGCACTACCACAACAGCATTTCCCCCCCCCCCAAAGATCTATTATCTTATCTTTTGTGCAGAGTCCAAACTTCATTTGTTAGTTAACGTGTCGTTGCTATTAGAGTGATATTTCTGTATTAGCTGACATTGAACTTTTATGAAGATAGTTTCCTAATAATTTAGCCTGATGTGCACTTTGTCTGGTCTTACATTTATCAGGAGCTATACAACATTATTGGCTTTTTCATGTGAACGGAAAGGTTTCTGGTCAAAACTGCATTCCTTTCTAGGCAAATAATTTGTTTTTCTCTAGATTTGCTATCAGCAAATATCTTGTGTAATGTGGCCCGTGAGAAAAAACTCCCCAAGATGCTTTTGACAGACGTGCGCACACAGAAAACACACAAACATGTGACAAAGACGACTGCAGGCAAAGAGGAAAAGGAGTGGGAGGATGTGATGGGACGATCTTTCCCTAGCTTTTCCATCTTTTTGCTTACATGAGGTCACCCTACGATCGGGCTGAACAATTGATGTGAGCATAAGTTCCAGTGATGATATCATCCCATAGTCCACGACAGACAAACAATAAATGTGAAATACAAATATGTGATAGAACTGAAAGTGTGTTTTATTTTGACAGCCTATTTATATTAGCTCTATTATATAAAAACAGAGCCACAACACAATAACTGATATATACAAAAGTAATAAGTGACAGAATCCGGTGCAATGATAATAATACACTCACAAGTATACACATTTTAAAGTACGTACTCGACGGACAGTTCAGTGAGTCACAGTTGGCTCCATGTAAAAAGTTTCTACACCTGCTGAGCTGCAGCCATGGCAGCTAATCGCTCCTGTTTCTCCTGCTCAGCCTTTTCCCTCATCTCCTTCTCTCTCTGGATCAGCTGCCTCTTCTCGGCCTCCCAGGCCTGTACCTGGCTCTCATACTGCTCGAGGTCCGGTGTCTCGGCAGCAGCCAGGTTCTGCTGGGCCAGAGCGGTCACTAAATCCTGGAAAGAGGTTGACTCTACTTTACCCTGAGACTCCAGCTGACTGCTCAATTCCTGGAGAGGCAGGGCAACAAAAAAAGTTGAAAGCACAAAGGAATGATCTCATCACTTCATTTAAATGACTTGGGTGAAACCCTGTGACCCAGAAAAGTCACTTCCAATATGTGACGCACACCGAGAATCATGGCTGCACAGAAAAACAGTCAAGATATGATGCATTCAAGAACAACCGGACTTTCCAATAATTCCAGTGTTTATTATCTTAGCTTCGTGGTCTGAAATATCCCTTAAATCTATGACCAAATGTAGTTTGTTTTTTTTATGATGCGCATACGTCAAATAAACAGTTGCAGCTATTTTGTTCCAAATTTTCATCCAGCAAACATTTTGGCCATGAGGGGAAATCCCCCTCTGGATGCAGCCACACACATGCCTATAGGGGGCACCTGGCCTGTCAGCCAGTGAAATTTATCTTTACCCTGTGGCAATAATGCCATATGTATTGGGATCAAAGTTTCTCTGTAAGCCTACCTACTTTTATTCAGAAGGTCAATCATTTATGATTGTGGTATAAGTGCATATCCATTTGCATCATTACTACACACACAACAATAATTTGACATCTATGAGTTTAAAATAAATAGAAAATAAAGACTGAAAAATTAAACCTGGTTTTATGTGGATACATACAGCGCATGTCAGGATGCATAGTGCAGAAAATGAATTCAATAATGATTCAGATTCAGCTATTTGATAAAAACACTGGCAGGTGCAGATATTTCATGTATCCAATAGTAATTATGTGTGTGCACATATTCTACAGCATTTGATATCAGAATGTACTGAAAGTCAAAGCTCAACATCTGGATTTGCAAAAAGAAGCTCTGACCACCCCTTTACAGCAAACTGGACTCTGTTTTCTTTGTTCTCCTGTAGGTGCACCAGGAAGCATTATAAACCCTGATGCACGCAGCTGATAAAATCCACATCCCAGCTAAGGCTTTTACACTGGTCCGCTGATCTACAGGTGGTAGTTATGTTTCAGGAACGTTAATGGATCTACAAAGCCAGGAAAGAAGAAGAAGAATGCCAGCTGGGAAAATTTGGAAGAAAATGTTCTATGAGGAAGGAAATGTTTTCAGCATGGTCTCAAGAACATGCCCACTACACAAATGCAAACAGAAGCTTTGCTTTAATTTAAAGAGAAAAATATATATATATATAAATTATCGTTTAGAGAATCAACAACGTAACTACAAATGTAAGAATCCCTAATTAACAGTCCACTTATTCAAAAATAAGTGGAAAATAATAATTTTATTATTTTTATTTTATTATCAGTTCAGTGGTAATACAAGACAGTAGGCAGAATGGAGAAAAGCACTTCTGACAGTCAAAAAAACCCCCATCTTATGCTGTTTGCAAAGGGGAAACTTTTTAAACTAGAGCGCAGTCAGAAAGCGTATCCTATAACCCAACAGGGTATTTTGCATTTTTGGATCCACATCAAATTTTTAATGGGTCTTTCCTTTGTCTAGGCTACACCTTTCCATCAGGTTTCAGCTTGGTGGTTGTTGTGTAATCTTGCTGAAAGATGGACAAATGGGAGGGAAAACATACTTCCGCCCCACCTCTTGCCTTAGAATTATATTTTAATCTGTCCCTTAAAAAAAACAAAGCATGCTGCTCACAGCAGCTTGACTTCTAAGTTATAACCTCGTTTTTACCAGCATGCCCCTATAATTACATTTGATGCAAATTTGAGCTTTAAGTACAAACAAAGACCCACCTTGAATTTCTTGACATACTCGGGTAGCTTAGCAGCTTCGGCCTGATCGTCTTCATCTACAGTGTTTTCTTTCTTGTCCTCTTCACCTCCTGACTCTTCTCCAGAAGAGTCTGACTCTGAGGTCAAAGGCAGGTCGTGGAGCAAGTCATTCACATATCCCAGCTGAAAAATAATCACAAAAATTAATGTTATTTATGCAGAAAGATAAAATTTTGTAATGAAGCATGTTCTGAAACAACTGTTTTCTGGTCTTTTTGCTGAAAATTACATTATGCAAGTAAAGTCTCTTACTGGAATGAAAACAGGCCAGACATTTAATGACGCAGGGTTATACACCTTACTTGACAAGTCACCTCTTAATCTTAGGAAGAAGTAAGATTAACTGTGACCTGAGGCAGCAGCACCTTCATTGAGATGTAATACTTCCTCTCTGTCCTATGGCGTTATCTTCTCTGTCTACGTTATTGCTGTGCTGCTGTGTGACGCAGGCTGTTCACTTTCTGTTGCAGTGATTGTCAAAGACAACTTCAGAGCTCCAGGCTCTTCAAAATCTCATTAGATGCAGACAAAGCTGTACTATTGAACTGGACAGCAGAGAGCGGATTAGAGATGCTACAGCCTGCGCATATATGTAAAAATTGCAAAATCATGACAGCGTGTGTGTCACACAATGCTGTCTGTGCCAAGCAGCCTACCTGGAAAGTAATAAGCAGCCTGTGGACTATTTGCAATGCTGCACGCAGTTTAATCCACGCTCATTTTACAACAGCAAATGAACACGTTAAGAAATACATCCGTTTGACATCAAACCCACAGTTAGGGGGCTGATATCAGGCGCCCAAATGAGAACAAAGAGCAATGCTGTCTGGTACGGCTCGGATAGTTGTTTGTTATGAACTATATAACTATAAACAGTTCTAGCATATTGTGCATTTGCTTGAGCACAGAACGTTTGTGTTGTATTACGCAGCAGTTGTCTTACTGATATTTTTCTGCCTATATGAAAGAATAATGTATGCCATCATTGGTACCTTTTGTAAAGTTAATCAGAGACACATGGGACATAATCAAGGATATCTGGGGTTGCAATGTTCAATGTTTTTGCTCTCTCATTACTGATTTTGATATTTAAATATGTTTGCAAATTGTGCGTTACCCTGAGACGCTTAATGAGGTGAGTGCTGGCTCAGACACCAATTCAGGGATCGATACAACTTTGACATAAAAAGAAGAGTGTCCTCAGATGACATTATCAGCATGGACCTAGCTTATTTTTGAAGGTGGGAGAAACCAGAACTCCCAGAGAAAAACAATAAAAACACCACATCCTCTGCTCCCAATTTCTATGAGGGCCAGAAAAGCGCCAGTAATTAATTTAGATGTGCTGAACTGAACTGCACAAGCCCTATTAATACCCAATTAAATTGTGAAATTAACTGTATAAATGAAGAAGATCTTTAAAATAAAGAAGTTGCACCATGTCAATACTGCAGGAAAGCGTCTCTAGTCTGAGGATATACTTATGTAAGACAGGATACGTACAAGGGTTAGGCAACTGAACAACTAAATCAGTTGTCATCAACTCATCAAGTCCATTTCAGTTCCTTTTTTGGGCCTTGTGCTCAAAGGAAATAGCATTTGGTATTTTTGGACTTAACTTGCCACTTGCACAGAGAAACTGAAAAAAAAGGAGATTTGCTTTAGTTATGAGTTGGTGTCAGCTGTGCACCTTATGTTTTGCTGCTCAGGTACAAATCTGTACAATAAGAGGCTGCAATGTGTCCTTCATCTCACTTCTTTCTATCATCTGTGGTTTTAAAGTCTCTTCCAGAACAAGCTGCACAAACTTTTCTGTGAATATACTAAGAAACACCAGTCAGGAAAAAATGGAATTTGTTGTTCAACCCTAACACAAAACACACAAAATGAAGCACGATTTGTTTGCCCTTACTGTATCTTTGGACAGTTTGACATCACTAGAAGCAGCAGCCACTCTCTCCATAATGGCCAGCGCTCTGCCCAGATATCCTCGACCCCAGAAGAGAGGCATCCCTTTGAAGACGGCATGTATGCCCTTTAAATTTTCTACCTTGCCTGGATGATGAAGAAGGAGGAAAACAAATGAGACAAGTGGCATAATGAAAGGCTACAGGAGAAAAAACAAAACTATCAATCACAGCAAAAAAAATTACTTAAAATAATGCAAGAAAAGAAACTCAAGCACTTACCGAGGAAAGCATTGCCAAGCAGCTGAGCACTGAGGCCAATGGTGTTGTCTTGCTTCTGTCCACAGATAAGCAGCGATGCCCCCAGAGCCCGTTCTTCTGACACCTGATCGCAGCAAAGAACAAGTGTTTTATTACTTCTACTGCAACATGTTAATTAGCATCGGGCATCTCTTTTTACAAAAATGTATAAAAGTTTAGAATGAAACCCCCTAAGATGCCCCTTTTTGAATCACAGGAAATTGATTTTGCAATTTCCAGTCATAAGAATATTCTAGAGTCATCAGCTGTCCTAAACACCTTCAGAGCTGCTGATTCACTCACAGCAAGTTGTGGTCTGGTTGCTAGGTAACTGCCCAGAGCATACAGAGACAGGATCTGAGTGGAGGGAAGATCAAAAGCCTCCTGAAGCATCACCTCTTCAACCACAGAACACGCACCTGAACAATTATAAAAAACAAACAAACATTCTCAGATAACATTTCCCAATATCTCTATATGACAAACATTTTTTATATTACAGAAGTTTCATAATCTGGATAGGAGTAAGCTTGTGTGTGAAAAACTGAGTAAACTCTTACTGCTTACATAAGAACTAAGGGGATAAGTAGCAGCCAGGTACTCATAATCAAATGCACACAACTATTTGATTATATGTGTGACCGCCTCTATATTTTTTGGTCTAGAGATGAAAAAAAAAGAGGATTTGGCAGTTCATTCAGATATGTGTTAACAGAATGCCACACAGAAAAGACATCAGCACTGATCTCAGAGAAGACTTGCTGTTGTCCATCAATCTGAGAAGGCTTATATGGCCATTTCCAAACAATCTGAACTCTGCCAGTTCACACAAAAGATTAATTACTTGTGAAAAACCATCAAGACAGGTGCCAAACTTCTCAGGAGCCTCACCCCAAGCGAACACTGTGCAATGCTCAGAGAAACCCAAGAGCTACATCTCAGAATCTGCAGGCCTCAGCATGCTAAATGTTAATGTTCATGACAAGTTAAGTACAAAAAACAAGAAAAAATAAGTTTGAGTTGTTTGGGTTGCTAGGAGAAATCTAAAACTTACACTGCACTTAGTTTTTGTTAAATAAATGATACTTTTATTGTCACATCACATGTGCGGGTACACTGGTACAGCACATGCGAGTGAAAGTCTTGTGTCCAAGCTTCACAAGCAACAGGGGTGAGCAAAATACAATACAATACAGAGGTGTGGACTCGAGTCACATGACTTGGACTCGAGTCAGACTCGAGTCATTAATTTTATGACTTTAGACTTGACTTGAAATAATGTTCTAAGACTTGTGACTTGACTTGGACTTTTACACCAATGACTTGGGACTTGAATTGGACTTGAACCGGTTTACTTGAAAAGACTTGATATTTTACCCCAAATATAAAATTTAACATGCATATTATATAGAGATTGAAAATGTGACGTCATTCACGGGTAGAACCGCAAAGGATTCTGGGAACTCGTGGCAAGCGGTACTAGCGCACGCAGGCTTTCAATTGAAACCAGTCACACAGCGATAAAAAGAAACACAAAAATGTCAAGAAGCTGTTGTATTATTAACTGCAATAGCTGGTCGCATGACAGCCACGGGAAGCCGACGGGTAAAGAGATCGGTTGTTATCGGATTACGTCGTTGAAGAGAAATTGTTCGAGCCATGTTTCCGAAGTAACAAAGAGGCGACTGGATTGCAGCCATTCAAAGACCAATTATAACGTCCCAGAACACTCCAGCTCACAGGTTAGTCTGCTCCAAGCATTTACACGAAGGTCAGTCTGCTGTTGTAGTTAATACATCATTTTCATAACATAATTAGTGATATAGGTTACAAGCAAGTCTGGCGCTGAACAGAAATTGTCGTGCTATGCTCCTTTGTTTATTGTGCATAAATAGTGAATTGTCCTGACAGAATATTGTGTTTCGCTTCTGTTATTATGGTACATTGACAAAAACATATACTTTTATTCACAGGATAAAACAGTTGTTTTGTATCACTAATTGTCCAGTGCGATTACAGCATACAATATTATTGTCATTGCTAGATTTCTGTGATGCTACCAAAAATTATTTCCACTGCTAATTAATTACCATTGAGCTCAAAGGTCCTATTAATAAACGGTTAACGAATGTGTATTTATGAAGACGATTTGTGAGACTGGTAAACTTATGATACGTACGATGGTCTTTCGTTCTACACGGTGCATTTCAAGGTCCTGCACCCATCCGTCGGTAAACTGTACCTGGGCTTGTTGCAGTGACCTGAAGTTACTAAACTTCATGAGTGTATGCACTCACTCCAAGAACCGTATGATTATAAATATGCATATAAATATGCTAAGATGAGATAGCTGACTTCGTCTAACTAGCAAATGTTGTCCAGGCTACGTTGGTGATGCAGTTTTTTTTTTAATTATATTTTTTTAAAAATATCATTTATTTATGTATGATATTTTTGTCATGCGATTTTAAAGCCGGTCCTACAAGCGCATCCAAGAATAACATGCAGTTTATCTCAGAACTGTCGGTGAAAATTATTCTTGGAGCTAGGTTTAATTGAGCTGCATTTTAAAGAGGTGCAATTTCACAATTTGTGTATATTTTCTAAGTTCACTATTTTGTCATGTGTTGAGAAAAACACAGATTTAAAAATTACATGGTCTAATATTTACATTTAGCATATAACTGCAACATGCTTTTTTTCGTTTTTTTTTTAAAGACTCGAAAGGACTTGAAATTCAAAATTTCAGACTTGTGACTTTACTTGGACTTTTACACCAGTGACTTGAGACTCGACTCTGACTTGCCTGACATTACTTGAGACTTGACTTGAGACTTGAGGATAAAGACTTGAGACTTACTTGAGACTTGCAAAACAATGACTTGGTCCACCTCTAATACAATAACATAAGAACAAGCAAAATATAAGAATGGGAGAAAAAATAAAGGAAAAGGAAAATTAAACACTAAAACCAGCTGTTGCTTGGGGGAGCTCGCGATGAGGCTGCCATACTCTGCGCCATAAACTCTTGGAAGTGAGAAGAAGCTGTATGATAAACTACCAGTATTTGGTGAGTTCACCATTTTACAATGGTGTCCAAATCTGCACTATGATTATGTCCTGTATAGCAGAGAATCCTGGTATCCCAGAAAAAGGAGCATAAAACCAGTGGTCTATAGTATATTGTAAACTGTGCATAAAGCGAAATGACACAAACAAGGTGTCATACAACTTGCAAAATGAAAGCAAGGTGTATGACAGCAATGTATTGAAACATGAAGTTCCCCAAAGTATTTATTAACTACTATTTATTAATTACACTCAGCATATTCGCAGGACATTGATTCTTTTAGCTGATTTTTGATGCGTTGTGTTTTATTGTGCAAATTCTTTTTCTAGGCACTGTTAACTAAGTTAAATCTTGGCTGGCCATTAGCTCACTATATAGTCCTTTACATAGAATTTGCCAACCATCAACTGGAGTGTCGTGGATGAGTATATAATTAAGGACACTGTAATTTTCTTTTAATGGCAAAAGATCCAAAACCACCCAAAATTAGTTCTATGCGCCCACCCGGTTTTAATCCAAATCACTTGTTGTACAAAACATGACGGGGCATTGAGAGTTCATCTGGCAAGGCTGTAAACTGTTGAGCTACGTCACAATAGCGACATTTGTAAACCACTAATAAAGGAAACTAACAGACGAAACCTAAAAAGTAATTCAGCAACATCAGATCTGAGCTACTGTTTTGAAACTTTGCAGCATATAAGCACTTTTAGCGAATGGAATCAAAACTTTCACATTCAACTGAAACAGCGGCTCTGCAAGACAATTATTTACGGTCTAATGTTATTATAGAAAACATAAATAAATAGAAACAACAAGCTTCCCTTTACCCCCGTCTTTTACAAACAAGGAAAGAAATGTTGAAATCAGATTTTGGTGATTTGAACATTTCAAGCAAACAAGAATGTGCTTGGAAACCTGCAAGGGGTTGGCCTTGCAGTCTGTGTGGTGCTTATGCTTCCCAAAGGTTAAATGAAAAATGATTTTTAAACTAAGTCTTACTTTTAAAGTCTGCATCCTTAATGAAGGAATCCATGAGGAGATTGAAGGTGAAGTCATCTGGGAATATTCCATACTGGATCTGCACACAGAGATATCAAAATATTGGCATCATGGAAAAACATCAATTTTTTTCTACATTATTTAATGATGAAGGTGTATATCACATGCAGCAATAAGACTGCTTCTCAGTGCATTAGTGACAATGAAAGCTCTTGCGTCAGAGTTGTATGCCGCCAATCAAAACAACTACAGCCGTGATCGCTTTTACCTCACTGTAAACGCGTCACTGGCTACCTGACATCTGTTTCTGGAGTAATTCAGGGATGCTCAGATACTATAACGCATTCAGGAACTGAAAAAAAGCGCTGGGCTGAAAATGTCAACCATTTAACCGTTTAACATTATTTGTGCTGGTCAGATCGGTTTGAAAACACGCCTCAGTGCTTCACAATGAGTCTGTGCTGTCTCATGATGACAGCCTTGATCAGATTTCCTCTCCGATCATTGAGATAAGGTTCATATGCAAGACCCAAACAGTGCTCTCAGCGTAGTTTATTTCCCAAAGAATAAACTGAGTGAATATTATAGTGTACCTTGTTTTTAAGTGTGTGCAAGGCCTTATCTCTAGCCCCATGTTTTAGACACTGTCTGATCCAGCCGTGAATGGTCCAGTCTCGCAGGTACCAACAGTTTGGACTGTGACGAAACCTTAAAGAAATTTACGGAAAAAAAAGTTGTTTCACATGCTTTAAAATAGAAATAGATACAAACACAACAACAAGAGGAAGAGAGGAAATCACATGACAAATATACAGTAAACAGTTTCAGCTGCTGAACCACAACTTTATCCTGGAAATCAGAGATAGGAATAAGAATATATCAGCAGAAGCACATCTAAATTCGTTCAGTGTTTCCCGATTATGAAAATGAATGTGCCCTGAACTAGAGTGCAGTTGGGAAACACACTAAATCTTGCCATCACAAGAATGGGTGCAGATTCCAGAGGAAGGAGTAAACAGGAAAGGTCTGGAGTTGCCCCGAACAAAGAAGAGCATGTGACTGAATATAAACCAAAACAGACAAACCAAACAGACAGTTCAGTCCAACAAAAACACACAGACTGGTACCACAAAAACCAAAAGCAGCAGCAGACATTTGGCACAGATGCAGGAGATGTAAAAATGATATCTGATTACTTATAAAGGTAGTACTCTGCTTGATCAATTTCTTCCCGGGATGATATGTTGTCCACAAACTGAAACAGAAAACAGTGTGCCATGAAAAATCAAGTTTACAGCAAATAAATAAAAAAACTAAATATGGTCCATTTAATGTAGATGCAGCTTACCCGTGACATAATCAGAGAGCTAACAGGGAGATTCCTGTCATATGTCCTGTCCATAGTGTTGGCGAGTACAGCTGCAAGTTTAAGAAGGATTTAAAAAAAATACCAGAATTATAGTAAAATAAACTAGAGAATAAGCTTTCCAGAGTAGAATAAATTGCTGACACGTTTTTGTTTTTTGTTTTTTTAATATATGAGTTTTATTATGGTGATTTACAACTTTTCACAACTTCGGTAATATCTAATTAAATTGTATTTAAACTTTGTTAAACTACGAGTATAAATTATGTACACTTTGTGAAGCAGGTAAATTTCGTCTGTAACACCATGAGGCTGCAGTGCTACACTGCCACCCTGTGTTGATGAAGTGTAAACACAGTAGTATTTGATGCTGGACTTCTGCAATGAGCATCAAATGGTGTAAATATTTCCAGAAAAAAAATTCTCTTTTTTAATAATTCTCCCAAGACAAACTAATTTACTGTACTAGAATAATATTCTATATTTGTACAACTATGGGTTACTGGATGGATGGGGGGGGGGATTTTCTGGTGTTCCCTTTGGGGGCCACAACAATGGATAATCTGCCTTCATCTCACCCTATACTTATACTTAACTCACCCTATACTTAACTTCCTCCTCTGTCACACCAACCCTCTGATTGCCCTCCATCACTACACCCATCAACCTTCTCTGGGGTCTGCACTTTTTCTCCTGCCTGGCAGCTCCTTCCTCAACATCATGTGTCTAATATATTCACTATCTACTCTTTTTACATATCCAACCCAAAGTCTCTAAACTGCTCGATTGGAGTTGTCTCTCTGATGTACTCATTTCTAATCCTGTCCATCCATATTGAAGCCAACCTGCTCCTGAGCCACAGAAGATAGTATCCTACACACTCTACCCACTCTAACTGGAAGGTCAGTGGCTGACTTCATAACTCCTCCATTCACATTGAAGAAACCTTGGGCAAGATACTGAACCTCAAGCTGCCCCAATTGAGAGTGAGCATGTGTGAATGTGTAGGGGTCGAAAAAATAAATAAACAATAATAACAACCACTGCACTGTAAGTGCAGTAAACTGAATGTAGTGCCATGTTTAGTGGAAGTGGCACTTACGTTTCTTTACACATCTCAGGCTGCTTATGATCTGTTTTTTAAACAGTTTATTAAAGGTAATAAACTATTAATGCTTTAATAATTATTTGGAATTAAGGGCATTATAGTCAGTCGTATTGCTATATTAGTTTGACACTTCTTGACTTGGTGGAAAAATGTTACGTTTCCCTGGATAATGATCCAAATCTTGACAAGCCCTTTGTTTGCTTGTCTTTTCATTATGTACTGTGTAATGTGGAGATTTAACTCTTACCCAGGTTCTGAGGATCTTTCTCTCTCGCCTCCCACATTTTGCTGTCTGTGTAAGCCGCTGAAAGCAACCATCGTCGGGCTGTGAAGAGAAATGCACACATCAGTCAAATATTTGGGAAAATGAGTTGCTCATGGCTTTAAAATTACAGGAAAACTCAAATGCCGGTTAGTTTAGCTTCATGTTGTTAGCTAACGTTACCATGAACTGAGGGCATTTAGCTCCACCTCTATGAACATTCAAATATTGACCGTAAAAAAAAAACTAAAAATAGACGTTAAACATGAAACTAAAATTAAATCATACTCTATATTGAGTCTTAACCAAATGCATGATGTGTCTACCTGAAAGAGACGGAGATAAACTTTTAACTTTGACAGCAGCAGTCGCACATCGCTTCAACACGGAGGCTGCCATATTAGACGATACCATGTCGTGGCAGGCGCCGGGGGAGTTTGATGACCGGCAAAAGTGGATTATACCAAAAGTGACAACAGGAAAGCAGAAAAGTTTTTGGTTTGGTTTTTGTTGTTGTTGTTTGTTTTGTTTTTTGTTGCTACCTATAAAAACAAATTAAAACTTAAAACTTATTTATAAACACAATTCGTACATGTTTATGAGTCAATGAATTATTAATGAAGTTAAAATGAGATATTATTGATATTTAATTTAACTTAATCTAATAATTTTTACTGTTCTACCTTGCTGTGTGCACCAAGCAACAAAATACTTTACAGGAAATGTTTTGATTTCCTGAAATTTATCAGGAATGACTTGCAGATAATGTAGAGAATACACACTTCCAGCCTACTAACCACAAGTTTCACCACAAGGTTGCTAACTTCCACTTTGGTATCAGCTTCTACGTGTAGATGAAAAGCGATAAACATTTTCTGATCAAAATAACTTGAAAACGTTTTTATTTAACCAACAAATAGTTGATCGATCGATCTATCTATCTATCTATCTATCTATCTATCTATCTATCTATCTATCTATCTATCTATCTATCTATCTATCTATCTATCTATCTATCTATCTATCTATCTATCTATCTATCTTTAAATAATAAACTATAATACTTTGCAGCTTGTTACATTTGGTGTGATGTATGTGTAATTCATTAATATTAGTTTATATTCTATTTTTGACATTTTTGGGATTTTTTGGATTCATTTGTTTACATATTTCTTGATTGGCTTTGGTAATTAAAGTCACATCAAAATGAAAGAGAAGCTACTTTTGGTCACTCCCAAAATCTGTTAAACATAAATAATATTCTATGTTGCAAGCGAGAGTGAAATACTTGAGAAGAACCTGCTCTTTGACAATAGAGGGCACTGTTCATATAAGAAAGAGACAGAACAGGAAAACACACACAGCTGTAAAAGTGAAGGAGCTTCACTTTGCCATGCTGTGTTGCACATAAAGCCATGAAGAGGTCCATTGCTAGTTATTGAGCACCACTGCTTCATCAAGCTTTTCAATAGGGCTTACTAGATCTGTCCTCTCATGTTCATTAGACTGCAGGCAGCCCCAAAAATACTAGCAAACCACCAAAATTAAGCAGGAAGTTGGACATAAATGTGGAGTTGAGTTGTCTCACTTTGTTTACCTAAATGTGCATTAATTTGTCCGTAAAAAGCTGTTGCCCCCGTCACCTCTGTGTTTGTCAGCCAGTATTTTTGTTCAGCTGCAGGAGGACAGCCCTCAGCTATTATTACAGTTAGCTCCTTGGCTGTGGGTCAAAGGAGGTGACAGGTTGAGACTAGGGTGGGACCACTCTGTTAAACAAAACATGGAAGAATTTTAGCACCATCTCATTTTCTCAGTGACCAGCAAAACAGGAAATTTGTACCTGAGATGCATTACAGTGTAGTCACTACAAGTAAACAAGAAGTGTACCATTCAGTTCCATTACTGGGATTTCTGATATCATCTTGTGCCTTTCTGTTTTGCCATTATGCAAAAGGCCATACAAAGTCTACAGAACCTTTATTGAAAATCACGTTTTAAAACCCACACTTCTCTCATCATGTTAAAAAAAGGTATGTTTGTGGTTTAGAGATGAAAAAAAAAATCAGAAGTATTTGTTTTCAGGATCTTGCTTACGGGCAGCCCCTTGCTGCTTCCCTTTTTTATTTCTCATCCATAGTGTTAGAGGACGTTGGTGCAGGTTGGTGCGATGTGATAAAAGAACTGCATTATACAGGGAATGACAAAGCATTTTGTAGGGAGGCTTTTTATGCAATAGATGTGAACTGTCATTGAACACATGCATGCTTGACCAATAGTATGTGTCTGCAAAATATAATGGATAAATTTATCATATAAGGATAGCTAGGATGAGCAGCGTGATAGTCTGAATTTTATTTAATTTGTATTTAAGACATTAAATAAATGTACATTACACAATGAGACAATTATAAGAATCTCTAAAAGGAGAAACAATTTTAGCCACATTATAAAAAGTTACAAGATACCAATCCTCAGTCTGGTTATCAACTCATCCTGAGTTCCTTCTTGAATGTGCATGATTTCGAAAACATTTATTGTGTAAAAAAAACCTACAAAAAAACCCAAAACGGCTTGCTGTAATTTGCCTGCTTATATAACAGTATTCAAATACATTCCGGATGAAACAGGATAGCAGGACATGAACCGCGCTGTAATATACAGCCCAACTTTCCAGCCAAGTGTTGTGACTCCTATTTTTTCACAAGTTTAGTTGAATTTTCTTTCCAAGACTTTTAAACTGTTGTCATTATCAGCCATTTGAGTTACAAAATGTTTTCCGAAACAGTCCTTGACTCAACTTTTTAATCACAGTATTATGAAACAGAAAACATCATAACAATAATTTATTGGACTTAAGACAGATGACAACCCTAGCACAACCTACAGTATGGTTTGGGTAAAGCAGCGTTTTGGAAAAATGGGAATAGGATTATCCTTATCAGGGTCATGGGGGGAGGGGAGCACTGCAGCCTATCCCAACTACCATAGGCTGAGAGGCGGTGTCCACCCTGGACAGTTAGCCTGGCTAACACAGAGAGAAAGATAACCATTTGCACTCACATTCACACCTATGAGTGCATTAGAATCACAAATTGACCTAACCCCACTAACTGCATGCCTTCAGACTGTGAGAGGAAGCCAGAGTACCCAGACAAAAACATGCAAAGTCCACACAGAAAGGCCCCGGCCTGGTGGTGGAGTCAAACTCAGGACCTTCTTGCTGGGAGGTGATAGTGCCGGACCACAGCGCTGCCCTGAATAATTTTCTATGTGTGTTAATTAGAATGAATATTTTCTTTGTTCCCTGATTGCAAAGACCTGCGAAAACACTTAAATTCTATTATATAATTTTACACATTTGTCTTGTAGAAAAACTGAGACGTGAACACTGAACACTGACAGGAAGTGCAGTTTCACTCTTCCAGCCCGCAACAGAAGTAGACTGAATGTGACCCTCAAGCTAAAATGAGTTTGCCATCCCTGGTTTAGAGGGTTATTCCTGTTGGTCAACTACTTTCTTCTTCAGTTTATAGAGCATAGCACAAAGGTTGTGTGATTTGAATGTCTCTGAGTAACCACTGATGGCATGATGCTTATGGTCAGTGTTTTCACAGAGCTCGAGCTGTTTTTTTGTTTTTAACCACGAGATTCATTTTCCCACCCGAGACGTATTTACCTGTTCTCCCCTGTGTCTGATTCATCTTTGGCTTCTCATTGTCTCTCAAGTTTCAGTTCACGAAAAAGTGATGGACTCAACGTGATCAACATGCTTTTTCAGAGGAGATTAGATAAAGAGGAGCTAACTGTGAACAGGAGATGGTGATACGGCCGACTCTCTGTGGTTTCTCTTCAGGCAAGTGGCTGGGACTGAAACATGTAGGTGAGGAAAGGAAAGAAGAGGAGGATGTGAGAACTTCCTCAAACTGTTTGCAGTTTCGCTCTTTTGGACACGGTGGTCGTCGCTGGTCAAAATAGAGAAGCTGCTGTTCTGCATTTCATCTGACAAGAAATGACTGTTTACCTGAACTGGCATGATTATATGAGATGTAGCCCACAGCACATACTGTGGACTGAAGCATAGTAAGTAATGTTTATAGTCACATTTTGCTCATTTCTTTATAATCCAGCAATCTTAAGTGCGAGTTATCCCACACAGCGCATTGTACAACATTTTTTCATGTAGTATTTCTATTTTCAGTGAGACTTCTGCAACGAGGAGAAACAATGCTTTATTCTGAGTCATACAGACATATGAAGCCTTTGTCTGGGACACCCACTGTGTCCGTCACTGCTGTTTGATCACAACCTAAAAGAGAGAAGGGGAGAGGTGTTTTCTCTTCCTCTTCCTCTGCTTTGAAAGAGAAGCAGGAGGATAGAGGCAAGCTTTCTGAAACTCGCAGCAATCATTTCTCGCTCGGTATGTGCGAGACGGAGAGAATCGAAATTTAGCATCTAGGCTCATATGCTGTAAAGACATTTGCAGCGATGTTTATAAGGCATTTAGTGAGAAAAAGCATCAAGTTTGTGTATTCAAGCTTTTATTTCAGTATTTATTCATCAGAATCATATTCAGATCACCAACATTGCAATAAAACACAGAAATATCTCCAAAAAAGAGCATGTGCATAAAAAACAATCGAGACATAGAATGTAAAAAAACAAAATCATTTTAGCTTTTTTTTTTCAATTGTGTCTGTCAAAAACATTTTTCATCCAGTTTTTTGCTGACTTTTAGAACAATATCACACAAACAAGAGTAGAGCATGTACAATGGTGTGATCAGTAACACTTAAAATTTTAATATCACAGATTAGATTCTGAGTCAAACCAGAGTTACATATTTAAGCAACATTTCAAAATGATTTGTAAAAAACTAAAACATTAAATATCTGTTTGCATTTTATTTACATCGCACGTTTCCAGCCAAAGCTTCTGTCAGTCACTATTAATGATAATTTGATATGTTTTTTACATGCAATATTCTTCACAGCTTGTAGTTATTCTTGATTTTTTTGCTCTGGTAATAAACAACAAGTTCATTCGCTGCTACTCACCACCCTTCCCTAATCAGAGATGTTTGGAAGCATGCATATTGTCGTTGCCCTCCAAAACAACCACTTAGTTTTAAACAAGAAACAATGCTACACATTTAATTATCTTCTGAGTCTTTGACTCACTTTTCTTCATGTTTGTCTTCTTCACCGTTTGACCCGTAAACTCTTTGAGCAATGCGCTCGTATTTGTTTGTCTCTTCCACATCGATGGCCTTGTGAAAGTTATCCAACTT